GTCATTACCTGTTGGTAGGTGCTGCCTGGTTATGAGCTGAGAGTTTTCATCGTCACCATTTTGGCGTTTTATAACCTTACATGACAGTTGAGAGGTGGATCTGACTGTCAAGCACACCGCACTCTCATTCGTTAACAACTTGTGATCGTCAAGTCATTGGCCAATGAGCATGCACAGGTCAATCTTTCTTTCTGACTCTAATGATAAGTATAATTTACAAAATGAGCTTAATGTTTTATTCAGTATGACCTGAGTTGCTAAAAGCAGAGTATTTATTGATGTCCACAGAAACCACGGGAGCATATCAAAATTATTTGAAAATTCTGACTCAGTAACTAAAAATTACTTTATTTATTCAGAAGTTTGAGTTACTTTTGAGATACTTAACCTGAAATTTGGCTTGAAAAAAGTTTTTTTCAATTGGGTTTCTATCGTTGGTCCTTGCTGACAATTACAATAAATAGAGGTTTAAAGTACATTAGCCTTAATTTTTCAGTCCCAGAAACGACGTCCATCATTAATACTGTTAGTCCTAAGCAATGAGAGCCTTTGTAATTAAACACCTGGCAACGAAAAGTGATGACACACCAATGATCTTTCAATTTGAAATCTCTATATGGATCCTTTAAAATAACTCACTGTACATAAATTAGATTAAAAACACAGGACATGATTAAGGGTTTTTTGTGTGTCTCTGTTGAGGGAAGGAACTCTTCAGTGTGTATATGTGTGACTGTTTCTGTTAGTGTGCGGGTGTGTTCTGAGGGGATGTACTTTTCTAAACATTAAATCTCACACACACACACACACACACACACACACACACACACACACACACACACACACACACACACACACACACACACACACGTTCGAGGTCCCCCTGCCAGTTTGGTCCAAAGCGAGTGCCCCTTTTCCATTCTTACAAACATTAAATCAGGTCACTAAAAGGATGTGTGTGTTAGTTCCTGCAAGTGTGTGTGCGTCTTTGAGAAATTTATGTGATATCAGCGATGATCTGATATTATCTTTAGGGGAGTACGTGATCCAGGGAACAATTCTGCTGTAGCGTTGCTTTCGCACGTACAAACATTACCCAAATGGGAAAATAGCATAAAAACAAACAAATGGGAAAACAGCTTACACCATTGGCCGGATATTCCAAACTGTTTAATAGGCATGATGACAGGTTTACTTGGTTCCTCATTGAAGGCTATTTTTACTGCTGCGCATATTTTTTTTTGAAGATTTGTATTGTGTATGATTCCCGCATATCTCCACCCACAGAATTATGCATTTCCTGCAGTACTAACCTGTATCTTCAGGGACTTGTCTCTATGATGCAGGTCTGAATTAACAAAGGGTCTCATATTTAAATCTGACTCTAGCTCGTGAACCAGAATTCATTCAGATGTAGTAGATTTATTTTGAGGAAATATCTGGTGGAAACACTAGAGGCAATATGCCTGTTTGACATGTGTGCATTAAAAGGTGAGATCACCTGAGTCACAGCTGCATCAATGTGCACTATAAAAGGCCCTTCCTCCCTCTGATAATGAAACCCACAGTATCCACGGATGAGATATAAAACATGTAACACACTTTGAAGGTGATGTTGTCAGTATCAAAGTTCCTCCTGCCGTTAAAAGCAGTGTGTCACATCCAGGTTGGGATGTCTTACTCAGTGCACACTGTGCTGCTTCCTCTCATTCACATTGTCCTTGACTTTTAAGTGACATGCTGCTACAAGATTATCTTCCCACACTTATGCAAGCAGTCTGTTACAGTCTTTTTCTTTTGAATTTATTCTTTAGAGCCAAACTTTCCTTGGAATTAAATGACTCAAGAAGGTGTTCAGGCTGAGACTGGTGTGATACATTTGACCCTCATGACCCCCATTTAAGCCAGTTGTCACTGGAAAGAATGAGCTAATTTTAGTTGTTCTTCCCTGTGAGGTTTTCATTCTCCAAGGAACTGATATCGTCATTCAGTACTTTTTGTACCATCCTTTGATGCTTCAGGCTAGAGTCAAGTTCCTTATTATAATAGTACAACTGGAAGTTACTCTGAGACTAGGTTGTTTTGGATTTGCTGAGATATAACTGCTGGACATGGTTTCGGGGTTCAACAGCTGTGATGCAGCTGTACGCGTATAGTACTATGAGAAAGTGCCCCCCCCCCTTTATCTTAGTTTTTTCTATATTTGTCACAATTACATGTTTTAGTTCATTCATTAGACAAAGATAACCTGAGTAAATATAAAATGCTGCTTTAAAATGGTGGTTTAATATTTTAAGGGACAAAAACTTTCCAAACTTACCCAATGACCTGTGAAGAGGTAATTTCCCCCTAAACCTAATAACTGTGCCACCCTTGGCAGCAAGAACTGCAATCGGGCATTTGGAGAAACTGGCAAAAAGTGCTTCACATCGCTGGGGAGGAATTTTGGCCCACTCTTTGCAAAACTATTTTTAATTCATATTGGAGGCTTTTTAACCATGAACAGCCTGTTTAAGGTCAGGCTAAAGCATCTCAATTAGATTTAAGTTTGATTAGGCCAAAACCTTCATTTTGATTTTTGTGAGCTGTTTAGAGGAGTGACGCACCAGGACTTGCTGGTGTGTTTTGGATCATTGTCCTGCTGCATTACCAGAGTGAGCTTGATTTTTGTGTGATGAACTGATGACGGACATTCTCCTTCTGGATTATCTGGTCGAGAGCATGGTACTATCGTCACACTACCACCTCCATATTTGACTATTAGTATGAGATTCTTTGTGTTAGTTTTACGTCAGCAGTCTCTTTCTTATTGTTGAATAATGAACTCTCACCTTAACCAAAGCAAGTGACCCTCGCAGTTTTTTAGATGTTGTTCTGGGTTCCTTTGTGACCTCCTGGATGAGTCGTAATTTTGGCATACCGGCCGCTACTGGGAAGGTTCACCTCTGTTTCAACTTTTCTCCATTTGTGGATAATTCAATTCAATTTTATTTTATTTATATAGCACCAAATCACAACAAAAGTCGCCTCAAGGCGCTTCATAGATACAGAGAAAAACCCAACAATCATATGACCCCCTATGAGCAAGCACTTTGGCGACAGTGGGAAGGAAAAACTCCCTTTTAACAGGAAGAAACCTCCGGCAGAACCAGGCACAGGGAGGGGCGGCCATCTGCTGCGACCGGTTGGGGTGAGAGAAGGACGACAGGATAATGGCTCTCACTGTGGTTCACTGGAGTGCAAGAGCCTTATAAAATGTCTTTGTAACCTGTTCCAGAAAGATAGATGTCAAGTACTTTGTTTCTCAGCTGTTTCCTTAGATTGTGACATGATGTGTTGCTTTTAGATTTATTAACATATTTGACTTTGTCAGACATGCTCTGTTTAAGTGATTTCTTGATCCAGCAGGCCTGGCAGTAATCAGGTCTGGGTGTGGGTAGTGAAATAGTTCATTCATGATTAACAAGGAAGGCACACAGAGCCAGGAGGGTTTGGATATTTTTTTTACCTTAATAAATGAAACCATCACTGAAATCTTTTTCTAGATTTAAAATTTGTTTGATGACCTGAAACATGTGAATGTGCAAATGAATGTGAGTGCGAATGGTTGTTTGTTTGTCCCTATGTGTTAGCCTTGCGACAGACTGGCGACCTGTCCAGGGTGTACCCCGCCTCTCGCCCTATGACAGCTGGGATAGGCTCCAGCGCCCCCCGCGACCCTGAAAAGGATAAGCGGAAGTGAATGGATGGATGGATGGACCTGAAACATGTAGGTGTCACAACTGTGCAAAAATAAAAACCCACACTTTTTCACAGCATGTTGGTCTGATGACTCAAACAAGCTCTCCTCCACACAGTCCTTATTCATAAAGTGCTTTACAACAGCGGTCCCCAACCCCCGGGCCTCGGACCGGTACTGGTCCGTGAGTCGTTTGGTACCGGGCCGCGAGAGTTGAGGCTCAGGTGTGAAATGTATGGTTTTCAGGGTTTTTATCGGTTTTCAGCGTTATTTTGTTATTGTTTTTATCGTTAACTTTTTTTCCTGGGTCTTTTCACGTGTGTTATGAATAAATCTTATTTTTTTGTGATACCGGTACTGGTTTTATTTTGTTGTATTTATCCGCGACACCTTAAAGGCCGGTCCGTGAAAATATTGTCGGGCATAAACCGGTCCGTGGTGCAAAAAAGGTTGGGGACCGCTACTTTACAAAATCAAACATTACAGCTCACTGCTGGATTTTCCCTTTTGAGTGCAGTTAGCCAAACAGCAAACAGCCACTTACTACTAAAGAGACAGTTTCTTAACATAAAACACATTTTTTCTGCCAGGAGCAGCACAAAAGTGATCCCTTAAACTGGTTTTTAGTTTTAGTGTCCTTATTTTCCTCCGAGTTATCGATTCTGTCACTAGTTAGCTAACATAAACTAATATAGGGCTATTTGCTGCAACCAACCAACCACATTCCTTACTAACAGAAGATGACGCTAAACATGTTTTTAAAACTTTGACTTTAAACACTTATTTCTTAAATCCAGCTTCACAGACAGTGTTCTATGTCAGTTTTTGAGAGCAGGGCTCAGTGATGTAAATTAGCCTTTAAATGTGTAGCGTTTCATGTCCTCTTTAAATCAAATCTGTTTTGGAAGCAGCCATCTTGGATCAAATATTGAGGAATACAGAGGAATAAAAATAAAAATCCTGTAAAGAATCAGCAGGCAAATCCAATTTAAAAAAGAAATAAAGTTTGTTGACTTTGCCCCAAAATTGTTTTTTTTTTCTCTCAACACAGTGACATGATTGGCTAATGTGTTTCACATTAAGATAATTAATCAGCTCTTTGGGAGCATGGGCAGGACAACTGTCATCTTTAGTTTTTCTTCAACACATTTCTGTCCCACTTCTCCTCTTAATGTAATTTCTGGTTAAATGTTATGAGAAGACAACTGCTGATAAAGAATTTCCAGTTGATAAATGGTTAAAGTCACTAGAAAAATGGTAATTCATTAAAATAAACTTTTAATGAATGAGCCTTTGTCATGATGTTGGGCACCAAGCAGCAAAGACAACAACCACTGCTTGATTATACTTACCAATAAATTTATTGAATTTACATGATATACATGGTATATTATTATTTTAATGTGGAAGTCCCACAAATAACCTGGGTTTTTTTGCAGAAATATGATATGGTCATTACTACTACTTATGATAGCGCTATGGTATTGTTTTTTATATATATTATATTAATTTAGGTATCGAGTATGTACCAAAGCAAGGAGAGAATCATAAAGGAAGCATCATGAAAAATGAACTTAACTGAACAAGTTGCAGTACATCGGCAAAATAGCTACTAACAATTGAAAAAAAACTATTCCACAATTATCCATACACATTGTTTAGTGGGTTATTTGTCTTTTATCTTTTTTAAATTTTCTTGCTTCAAAGTATTCTTGGAACATTATAATATATCCTCGTGTTCTTCTTTCATTTGTTCAAAATGCCATCTCTCACTGGCTATAAAAAAAAATTAAATATTGTCACTGATTTGGCAAAGCACGGCCCAAAAGCTAACTGAAGACTCTTCAGCTTTTATCCTGGCATGTTCCCTACATGTAACATATATAATTATTATGTGCATAACATTTTTTAATAAACTTTAAACTAGTGAACACAAATATGAGGTATTCTAGTATTATAATTTCAACATCTTTCATTTTCTCAAATTTATGATTGTGCAGGAGACCATTTCATAAATGCACCATTAATAAAATATGTCAAGTTCCAGCTTGATCTTTTCATATGAATTATGTTTTATGAAAGACAGTCCTAATCCAAATTCTTTACTTAACAGATTACTCTGGCTTGAATACATGATTGAATCATGCAGGATTTGAATTTCCCTGGAACGTTAGGGCTGCTTTATACATTAACTTTAGTTAAAAATGTGAAAACTGTGCACTAAATAGCAAAATATTTATCATATCTCTATTGTTGGAATGGGAGAAATAGAATACGATTGCAAGCGTATGTTAGTCCAGCTGTTGTGGGAGCACAGGAGCGTCGTCTTCTTTTGAGAGTCCCATTACTGTCACGTAGCTGGAGTTAAACATGAAGGGTCCTGTCACTGGCGTGTCATGTGAGATCTCCTGAGTTCAACAAGGCGACTCCACATAGTCATTGTCCAGACGTGGGTGAAAAGGTGACGCTAGTGAGGGACTGATGATTATAACTCGAGGTGCAAGGCAGTCATCACGGCGGTGTAAAATGTTCCAGATGAGCATAGCCGCAGCCATAGTGGCCAGCAGGCAAGCTGCTATGTCCATATAGCAGGAGTAGGAAAGGTGGGTGTTGGGCCCGATCTTATAGAAGGTCACAAGTCCAATAACCAGAACAAAACCTGCAACGGAGCAGAGAGAGAAAAATCAGTCAGCTGTTATTTACCAATATCAGGATCCAGTGAAATACAATTTGTGCTTTTTCTTATTTTAAATTATGAGGTGCTCTTCTATTCAAGCTGCATCTTGTTTCACACTGGAAAAACAGACAAGGTCATGTTTCATCTTGACATAATTACTGAGAGACTCAGAGTGCAAACCATGTTTGGTGAAATGAAGCGTTTACAGGAATGCTAGCAACTCCTGTGCACATTCAAACCAGGTGATCGAGGTCAGCATGACCATGAGCTGGCAATGTTGTGTTGTACCAGATGAGACTTTTGACAATTAATTGTAAGGTTGAGACAGAGTCTCTGGGATCGTTTTAAGACATTTTAGTTACAACAGTTAATAAAATGAAACCTGCAGTGGTAGAAGAATCCCATTCTCTCAAATTTGGAAATGTATTGGTAAGTTGAAGCATTAAGATTTCCTTTCACTGGAACTGGCCAACCCAAGAAAAACAACAGTTACGATTTTTGTTTTTTACCTTTGATATTTAGAAGCCCAAGTGAAAGAGACTGCTTGGCCTAATGTACAACTGAAGTCTCTCTGTGGCTTTTAAAATCCCACATACTGACACTTAGACCCCATCACTGTAGTCACTGTATTGCTCAGGAAGGCCAGAGCTATGTGCGCAGCCTTTGATTTGGGAAATCTGTTTCCTCTGAGGAAGAACTTCAGAAATCTCAAGATTAAAGTTCTCAATAGCAGAAAAATATCAGAGCATGACTACAGGCTTGGAAAAGCCTTTGAGATGTTTTATCTCCTGCTGTCTTTGATTCACAGGAGCTTGACTGAAGCAAAGAGGAATTCCTGCTTGCATGCGAAGTTATAAAGCCTTAGTCTTTAGTTTCATGCTGTTCCTTTGATCTTTATTTGGTTGTATCAACATTTTTCACTGTCTCCATGGCCGCTGTTGTCCTACTTCTTTACAGTTAGGTACAGTGTGTCTTAAAGCAACACTTCTTGGGGTTTTCCTCATTCAATGCCTTCAAGTGTGCTCTGGAGCCATTATATAGTTCAACAATGCTACATGTCTAAAAAACCTGCCTCATCCACAGTGGTATAAATACAGGGACCAAAAATAATCACTGGAAATAGGGATGTTAGTGCATTAGGATATGAATCATTCGGTTTCCTGAAGCAGTCAGTGGCACCAATGAGGGAAGTTCATTTATATTTCTTTCTCTACCTCCACTGTAAGATGGTTGTCATTGTTTTAAATGAGGATGTGGATAATTGTGTCTGTATATCAATATGTGTCCACTACACTGTGTATGTAAGAATGTAACTGTTTGCTCATGTCTGTTCATGTTTAACCTGTCTGGCTCCTTATCCAAGAAAATGAATAATCTCCTCTCCAGCTTCCAGCCAGGGTGGGCTGTGTGAACCTCTTTTCTGGCAGGGACTTATCTCTCAAGCTTCCTTCCCCTGCTTCCTCTTTCCATCCTTCCTTCCTCGCCTCCTTGCCACACCCTGAGCTCCGAGGTTAATACATTTACTGGACATCTGACACAATGTGTCACAGAGAAAATCTTAATGAGTCTTGCTGCTATGTGACTGGTTCTTGGAAATTCCTTTGGCCCTGCATCTTCCTTTTAGCTAGTAGTGACCTACTGAAGTTGTCATGATGTCTTGCTTCTCACCAGGAATCTATTGAGCCACAGACTTTAAGACACAAATGTGACTTATTTTGGAGCCAGGTTTAAAATCAGTGAACGGATCGTACAAATTCACTAATCACCTGCTTCTTAGTGGGATGTGATCTGCAGTGGTGACATTTGTCACGTTAGAGCCGTGTCCATTCAGAAAACACATTCCAGAGTTGTCTCACGGGGTGAAAAGACCACTATTGTGCTTTCAGTCTGGACCAGCCAGTGTTGCTGAGATATGGCTCTATGCAGCTTAATATTGTTATTCCACACACTCACACTCTACTTGCAGTTGTAAAGCATTTTGGCACGTCCGAAAATGAAAACATTCCAGTGAAAGGGAGCGATGGGCAAAAATACCTCCATTCATTCAGAAGCGAGCCCCATTCAGTGACTCAGTGGGGGAGGGCTGAAATGGGAGTGGGGAATGAATGAATGGTAGAGGCCTGCATAACTATCTACACTCAGATGATTTGGTCTTCTTTGGGATTTTTCAGCCTTTATTTCCAGGAATTATGGCTCAGTCACTTCATTATTATTGAATCTGATGGTTATTTTTAGAATTGATTAATTGTTTATTTGTCCAACTGTCCAAACCTCCAAAAATGCTCCAAACTGGATGGCATTTTTATTATTCATGTTACTCTTGTGGTTTTAGGGATGGCACTGTTAGTCTGTTGTTCGTTTAGTTGGGCTACCGCTGTGGCCCAGATTAACGTGCTGTGCAAAAGTGTTGAGCCACCATCATTTCTTTATATTTTCCGATGGAAATAGGTGCAGTTATTTATTGAACCACGTACCAATATACATGGAAATGCAGTATATAAGGTAAAAACAGAATTTGCTTTCCAGATGGTATTGTATGATGGATCAAAATGGGACTTTTCTGTGTGCATTTCAAACCATGAGAGATCCTCCACCGTGTTTAGCAGATGGAAATATAAACCCATCCATCCATCCATCCATCCATCATCATTCTCTCCTGCTTATCCTTATTAGAGTTGTGGGGGGCTGGAGCCTATTCTAACGACCCAAAATTTAAATTTTGGATACATCACTCTATCAGACCTGTTTCTACTGATTTCCAGCTCAGTTCTTGTGTATTTTGGCAAAAGCCATCAATTTATTCCTTTCCCTTCCTTCCCTTCCACTGGCACCATTGAGGTGTCACTGCTGTTCATGAGGCTTCAGTAAACAGTAGATGGATCATCTGAAGGGCCAGATGCAATTCTCATGGTCCTGTTTCAGGTCTTTTCTGAAAGTTTTTCTTTTATCTGTTCAGACCATGATTTCCAGATGCTGTTCATCTGCTGTCGATGGGCCACTTCTTCTTTTGTCTTCTGTTTGTCCAGTTTTCACAAATCTTTAAAGACTCACCATGCTAAAATACGCCAAGTTTTAAACCTTTAGCCCTATTAGTGCAAAAGTATTATTTTATGCCCGTTAAACAATCAAACAAAATGGTCTGGTGCAAGGACTGAAGTAAAAATGAGTGGAAGGCAGACAATGTCTGAAGAAAAACTTCAGCTTCAGAAAGCATGGAGAACTTTTGCTGAAGACCACTTTAATAAATGACCAGAAAGCCTGGCTTGAAATAAGAGGTGGCCCAAGTTTTTTTTTCATAGTGCTTTAATACAATAAACATTGGATGTATTTTCAAGAAATTTGGTTGAGACGGCCAAGCTTAGGATGGTGTAGGATTAATGTTGCTGACTTATATCTAATGACTCTTGACTTACATGTGCAACTACCCCACCCATTAGATCAAAGTTTACTCTCATCTAGTGACACATCTATGCAGTATTCAGGAAGTACACATTTTTCCCAAGTGACTGGTGGGTACTTGGAGGTTGCTGACAAGTCTTTAGGCCGGTGTGACTGGAGCTTTAGACTTCTAGTTTGTCTAAAGAACAAGCCTTGTTTGTGACCTTGAGAAACATCTTGCTGTTATCCATACAAAAAAAGGCTTAAAGAAATGTGCCTTTTTTTATTTTGAATTTATATTTCATAGGATAATATTTGGAAGTCATATCATTTTCTAATATGTGAAAACATCTGCCGAGCCTAGAACAGATAGGTCTGTTTGGTCTGGATTGATCTGTTAAAATAATGCTGTTCTGCCTTTAAGACATATTTATTGCATGTCACAGAGTTTTCACGTAGCAAATATTAGTGGATAGTTGCTTTGATACACGTGTTACGTGTATGTGGATATGGGAGTGTATTTTAAAAACATCAGAAAATAATATGAAGTGAATAATATGAAATGATGAAGAAAATAATATAAGTGTAGCAGTTGTTGAGTTTATTTTTATGTATGTAATAAACTCAAACAGAAGATTTCTATCAGCTGGAAGTAGCAAGTTAACTTCAGCTCCAGTCGTCAAAATTCGAATGTTTAGTCTGTTTTTTTCTTAGTTTTGGTAGTTTTATCTGCTGTCCATGTGTTAAAGATGTTCTCTGGAGCAATCTGTCTTTAAGAAAACAAAGGAGCTCAGTATATACAAGCGACACTTGTCATCTGATTTTTTTTTCTTGTGTCGTGTCCTATGAACGACTATGAACTGATAAACTTCTAAGGTCAAGATTACATTTTGATAATAACCTTTTTGTGTCAGAAGAGTAAAATTGGAAGATCAGATTTTTCCAGAGAGTGTTATTTTTTTTAATGTCAGGGAAGTAGGTGTGTGCTGTAAATTTCTTTTTAGAATGCCAAATCTATTATGCTGCTGCCTTTGGTAATCGTTCTTTTGTGAGATGAGCTCTTGGCCACTGAGGTGTTCCTCGTGTTGTTGTCTAATATAGGAAAATGCAGTAATACTGGGTGGGCCTCAATCCTCTCACCAAGGTCTTTAGATAAAAGCCATCAGCCCTGCTGGAATTTGTCCTGAATAGACTAAAGATAAAGAGGAGATTCTTTACTTGCAACTACTCTTAGACACTTTGTAAACAGACATAAAAGCTAGGCCAGTGTATCTAGAGTGAGGCAAGTCCCACCCTGCTGTCATGAGTACCAAAGGACATTTCTTCACCGAAGCTCACTATAAACAGACAATCACGCCACAACACACTCTTAACATACACAAGCATATATGCACATATTCCCTCCTGTCAGTGCACACACAAACACACAGTCCCCGTCGAAAACTGTCTTTCCCGTTAATTCCCCCCTCCCCTCTTTTTCCTTCTTCAGCTCAGGGGTTTGCATAACAGGTAGTTACAGACATTTCCTCGTCCTGAGCAGGGATATCCTGGCGCCCGACAGTCGCTCCCTGGCTCACTGCAGCTTTGGTCCATGGATTTTGGACTAGGACTAAATTTAAACCCACAGCAGACCCCCTTCATGCTGCTCAGAAACCAAGCAGCTGAGTGACCGCAGCGCACAACACACTTCCTCAGCAGGGGCACCGGGACAAGTCAATACTAGGGGACACTTAATGTCGATAGTAGAGGATGGATGGATGGATGGAGGGATCGACAATGGATAGATGCTAGTTAATTCCAATTGCAGTTAATCCTGAGGATAGTACAGGTTCTATCTTCCTCTCGTTTTCGAAATTTTGACTGAATTGATGGAGAGTCTTATCAAGTCAGATTTTGTTTCCGCTATTGTGACCACTTTTCATTTAAATATGGATGAGTATCCACATTTAGTAAAAATATGGTCTATGATGCATTATTTTTTTTTAAATTAGGGTTTACTTTTTCTTAGGTAGACCTAAAGGATGAGATTTGCTAGTGTCTTAAGTTTTTCACAGTAACTTCCTGCAGCATTTGAGGCTTAGAAGTCGATCTTCAGTATTGGAAAGTTGCCCAGTGCAGGTCCAGCTGTGATTACAGCCCAATTTTATGGCACTAAATTTTGGATTTGGTTAAATCTTTGCAAATGGCAAAACACTTAAAAAGAGGGGATGCTGGTACTTACTGGTTAGTTGGAAAAGTGCAGCGATGGCTTCTTCCCACCACTGGGATTCGTGTGAGATGAAGGGCAACTTCATCAGGCCTAGAAGGAAGATCAGCTGACCTGCAGTCAGGGCCACTGTCGCTATCAGGTTACATGCTCGCATCATGTTAAACTGCACTTGAAGGACAAGAAGAAAAAGTTGTGTCATATTTCTGGCACTGTGATGTAAAAGGGTCAAATATACACATGAAAAACTAAATGGCAATAATAGTTTTTAAAGGATAGCTTTATTATATGTCTGAATTTTTGAAGGCACCATAAAACCAATTTACTAATTTATTTAAAATGTACCCACGGTTTCTAAAAAAAAAAAATCTAGTGCAAAAACAACACAGAACATAGAGGCCACCTCTTCTTCTGAAACACTGAAGGACTTTTGAACTGTGGAGTATAACTCATCTACTTTTGAAAGTAAATATAGGATTTCAGCTTCACAGTGGTTCAGAGCTGGTTTGTCTTGTTTCAGTTTTTTTTATGTGTGTGTGTGTGTGTGTGTGTGTGTGTGTGTGTGTGTGTGTGTGTGTGTGTGTGTGTGTGTGTGTGTGTGTGTGTGTGTGTGTGTGTGTGTGAAGGCAGGAATGCTCAGGACTCTTTTCCTCTGGAGAACTGCAGTTATACTTGCAGAATTGTAATTACGTGCAGAATGTGGTTTGGCATTGTCTTGCTGAAAAAGACAAAACCTTCCCAGAAGCAAACGCTGCCCTGATGGCAGCATACGCAAGTATCCAGACATTCTGCACTTTGCCAGTGCCTTGTGTACTACTCCATCCCTATACCATCACAGATGCTTTGGAACTGAGCTGGATGGATCTTGTCTATAGCCTGCTGGACAGACTGTCCATGACTCTATCTATCTCATATAAGATCATTCCCAGAAAAGGCAGCTGTGTTTCTCAGTCTTGTTTATACATATTAATATATTTTTTGTGTGTTTGTTTTACTGGTTGATGTGACTCAGGGGATACAGCTGATCATTCCCTGATCTGAAGGTAAATAAACCTGTTCTTAGATAGTGCTTTTCTACTCTATTTGAGCACTAAAAGTGCTTTGTACAGCATGTCTCATTCACCCATTCACACAGTACCTTTTTCTTCATCTAACTGCTTTCTATCTAAGATTTACACACACACGCACACTGATCACGCCAAGGATAGCAAAGCATCCATACTTATGAACCATCATCCTTTCAATTAGTAGATGACCTGCTCTACCTCCTGAGCCACAACAACCCCTGAAACATCCATCTACAGATTTCCCTTGAAGACATTCATGTATTCATACAGTCCAGTAGATACATTAAGTGGTCAGTTAGAGTGTAAAACCTCTACATGAATACCAGTTCATGTTCAATTTATGTTTGCGTGTTAGAGCTTGAACTTTTATTTGTGGATGCAAAAACTGTGTTCACTTTGATTTTAGAAGTATGTAGATTTCTCCAGATTATCTGAGTCTTTTATTTATGGCAGTTTATACCGCAGATGATGAAATCATGCAAGGATAAAACTCCTATATTGGCTGAGATTTTCTGAAATTGTCGAGGTTTCTATGTTATGTTATGTTTTTTGAAGTTTTGTGGGGGGAGGAGTTCTGTTCTTTTGTGACCTATATTCCAGTTTTTTTGTTTTTTTTGGAAACAGGGTTATAAAATACACTTCCAGCACAGGAGCATTGACACGATTACTATTTTTTCATGAATGGTAAGTCACTTCTGCCATTAGTTGGCAGCGCTGCCCAGTGACCAGTAAAGCTGGCCAATGGATTTCCAGCATTTCCCAGACTTGTTCTTGAATGACAGTTTGGAGCTTATTATTAGAAGCATATAAATCCATTGTAGCATTGACTTTGACTGAAAAATGTAGCTGTTTTATGGAGTACATGCTACAGATTTTTGGATGGTTGAATACATTGGATAAACTTGGAAGTTAGGAGCTTGGATTTAATTCATGGATGTCAATTTTACCCCAACAGTGAAATTCTTCAGAGGTGTGTTTTCATATGAAAACGAACAAAACTGACTACTATATAAAACTCTGCAGTACAGCGATATCTGCAGCATTAAGTGTATTTCTTTTATTTATAAGGATGTACCAATGTATCAGTCAGCAAGTTTAACAAGACAAAGGTTAGACACTTTTTTTAAAGCAGACATAAGCATGCTGTGATGTCGAATGTAAAATCTAAAGTAAAGTTAAAACTTACATTTGACAGTGCTACGGGATTCTTGGTAGCCTGCATACTCAGAGCCCCAACCAATGCTTTCACATTGCTTCTGTGTGCCTTGCCCCCTTCTGTCAGCCTGGAGGTCGTCACGGCCCCTCTCCCCGCCGTTGGGGCACATCTTCCATAGTCCCACACTGCGCTTTCGGCCGTCCTCCAGAGCCTGCAGAACCCAGCTGGGTGTGACGGCTGCCACATTATTTAGGACCAGGGACAGCAGGGCTACGGCCACCGCTGCTACCACCAGCCTCTGCAAGGCCATGTGATGCCCGGCACCTGCCACCTCTCCCCCTCCGTCGTGCCCCTGCTCCGAGTCCTGTTCGAGCTCAGTGGGCTGCCAGCTCCCTCGCCTCTCCTCTGGGCCAGGAGCACTAGCAGTGCTCTGGGCCCCCTGGCTACTCTCCACCTCCTCCACCACCACCTTCTTCTTTCAGCTATTAGCTAGTGTCGTCCCAGCTCACCCAGATCACCTCTGGGTGATTTGGCAAGAGTTTTGTTTTAGGGCTTAGCTAAAGGACATCTCCATTCATCCTCATTCAGGAGTCGGTTGTCGTTGCAGCAGATCCTCAGCCCTCCTCCTCAGACAGCAGTGTGGGTACGTCGGGATTGATCCAACTGGCACCTAGGTCCATTCCACTGGCTCCGGCTGACTGCAGCTTGACTCTTGGATCTCAGTCCTTGCTTGTACTTTTATCTTCTGCTTTTCCACCCTCCAGTGCTCTGTTTAATGCACTTTTCAGACTTCTGGGTTTGCAGTTGGTTTATTTAGGTGTGCAGTAGATCGACTTTCCTTTTCTTCTTCTCAGAAATGACACATTTCTTCCAGAAAAGTACAGATGACAAAAGTAGATTCTTCGGAGAGCGTTGCTAGGAGCTGACTCGTAGGTGGCTTTGCTTTGACTACCCAAGACTGTCTCTCAACTTGAAGAGCCCCTGCTGCCTGCCTGGAACAAGAAGTCCTCTAGCCCACCCCCTTTTGCCTCCTTCTATCTTTCCCCCCTCTCACTCTCTCTTTTTCTCTGTTGCTCACTCGCGCACACACGGTTTCTCTGCAAATGTTTGCGGTCAGAGTTGAAATGCAGGGGAGTTGCAGTTCATCATAATCCGAGGAATCACTTAGCAGCTGTAGCAAGCACTGAACAAACAGCTCCCTCCTTCATGATCACTTTAAATATGAGCCCGTGTTTGTGCCAGTGCGTTCATGTGACAGAATGTCCAAAAGACCCCCTCTTAGACGTCACTGTTCGGTATATTCTTTTGTCTGGAGACCAGGGGGCGTTTGCTAAAGTCTCCACTCTCATGTACAACAAACATAGTGACTGCCACAGTCGGCCAGCAACAGGATGTGTTTCCTGAGAGGAAAAGAGGATGGGAAGAGAGGCCAAATGTAGACCTGTTTCTTCTCTTGTCTTTCCTTTTCTGGCTCTCTAAATCTGGCCACTCAGAGTAATGTGAACATGATTTTTTACTCAACATTTTTAAATAACCCAGATTTTTCCCTCCCTCTGTTTTGTTTTCTATTACCATAAACAGTAAGACTTTGGCTGCCACCTATTACTATTGCTTTTTTTCACTTTGTCTCACTTCTTATAGCAAGGCCCCTAAAGATTTGGGGTATTTCCTGTTGCCTAACTTTAATAAACAGCCCACATCTGTATCAGCTAAAGCAAGGAGGAGGGAGGGGATGGAAATAGAGACCAGATGGCTGTGGAATCTTATATTTGGAATTGAAACTGAACTGGGGGATGGGGTGTGTGTAAAAGACTTGATTTACGTCAGAGAAAAGGAAAAAAGAAAAGGAAAGATAAAGAATGACCTCTGTTTTGAGTTTAAAATCCTCTTCTCCATCTTAAAATGTAATAATTTCTAGGTTATGCTTTTATCAGTAAACAGGATTGTTTGATGGACATTCATTATCATTGTTTGATATTGGAATGATACTACACCACTAAAAGTCTGACCCTAGTGACATAAAAGCATTTAAAGCCTTAAGTCAGGTTTGTCCCCATATTCACATGCATTCAGTCTAACTATCAAATATAAGCTTAAATGGAACCAGACATAAGTGGAAAATATTAAATACCTACCAACTTTTAATTTTTTTCTATGTATATATTTACTTATTTGTGTATGTGTGTATAACTGATCTTACTGTTGAATACTAAAATGCCAAGGCAGTGAGCCACACACACATCATCCTTGCAAACAAGCCATTTCTCCTTTCTCTTGTAGTAAAGCGGTGTGGGAAAACATGGCACGGATGTGTGTGAAAACCCGCCGGCTGGATGTGGCACGCGTGTGCCTTGGGAATATGGGAAATGCCAGGGCAGCAAAAGCACTAAAGGAGGCGGAGGCTGAGCCTGAACCAGAAACCCAAGTTGCGATGTTGGCCATTCAGCTGGGCATGCTGGTGAGATATTAAAGAATCTTTTTATTTTCGCCCCAGACTATAAGAAAGAATTGCAAAAAGGGTTATTCCTCTGTATTTGGGTTCAGGTTGCAACTTAATGTGAAAACTCCATAAGAGAAAAGATTACATTTCATTTAAAAAGACAAGATAACTTTAAAAAAAGGAACTTGAGTTTATAAAATCATTCTAGAAGATAATTTTAGTCATTTTTAAAACAAAAAAACCTGCGATCCAGCTCACAGAAATGCCACATGCTTTGGCTACAAATAACACATCCTTCCTTTAAGTTGTACCACGCACAGACTAAGGGACTTTCCGGGCCAAAAGCATTTATCTTTCCATCATCTTTTCCTGTCTTCCAACAGGAGGATGCAGAAAATTTGTACAAAAGCTGTCAGCGCTACGACCTGCTGAACAATTTCTATCAGGCTTCTGGTAAATGGCAGCAGGCTTTGGAGACAGCTGAAGTTCATGATCGCATCCACCTGCGCGCCACGTACTACAGTTATGCCAAATACCTGGAATCCATGGGCGACAAGACACTGGCCCTCACTTAGTAAGGAAAACAAAAGCTCATTTATTATTTGGTCAGTAATGTAGTCGTGTGTGTCAGAACAACTATACAATAGGAACAAAGTGTGACTGATTGTTATCCTTTTTGTTACAGCTATGAGAAATCAGACACACACAGAGTTGAAGTGCCCAGAATGCTCCAGGACGACACGTCATCTCTAGAGATTTATGTTAACAAAATGAAAGACAAGTAAGTCCCGGCTCTCCCTTTATGGTTAAAAACATCTGAAATGCTTTTAAACACCAGGCCTTCCATATGTATAACTCAGGAGCATCTATAAGTGGTGGGCCCAGTACCTGGAGAGCCAGGCAGACCTGGATTCTGCACTGCATTTCTACGAGTGTGCTCAGGATTATCTTTCCCTCGTTCGAATCTTCTGCTACAGGGGGGACATTCAGAAGGTGACTCAGTTTTTAAACTTGTAATTTTAAAGAATTTGATCTTGAAGAGTTGAGTTTACTGATTTATATATAGTGTCTTGTGTACTTAGGAAACATGTATAGGCTTGTACCACTGTAAGCCACTGTAAACAGTATTGTTATTCTGACTAATTTACATTCTTCTTTTATATGATAACATTTTTGAAATTTCCTAGGCGTCAGAGATAGCCAACAATACGGGAGACAGAGCAGCTTCTTACCACCTGGCCAGGCATTACGAGGGACATGATATTAAACAAGCTGTTCACTTCTACACACGAGCCCAGGCCTACAATAATGCTATACGACTTTGTAAAGTAAGGGTTTTTCAGCAGCCTCAGTTAGAAATATATATCTATATATAAAGCAAGACTTTTTTTCTTTTTTTTGTTTGCTTTCTTTTTTCCCATCGTTGTTTTCTTGTGTTTCTCTGATCAGGAGAACGGCCTGGATGACCAGCTGATGAACCTGGCCCTGCTCAGTAACCCAGAGGACATGATGGAGGCTGCGTGTTACTACGAGGAGAAAGGCTCCCATTTGGATCGTGCTGTTGCGCTTTACCACAAGGTGTGTTTTTTTTCCTTTCCAGTGAATGGATTGATGCATTATAAATCGTTCCACAAGGGGGGGGTGGTGGTATTGTTAAATACATTTAAAGTAAGCAATGTGAAGTAGATTTTCAACTGTGGCTATATTTATTCATTTCTTTCTTATAGGCTGGCTATGTGTCCAGAGCTCTAGAGCTGGCCTTTGCCACCGAGCAGTTTGGTGCTCTTGAGATGATCGCAGAGGATCTCAATGAGAGCTCAGACCCAGCCCTCCTGGCTCGCTGCTCTGACTTCTTCAGCACACATTCCAAGTATGAGAAGTCAGTGGAGTTACTGGTAGCAGCCAAGAAGGTACCGCTGCGACACAGCATCACCTGTCTGCTCGTAAATCCATTCATATGTGCTAACTCCTGCTTTTGTGTCTCCACATTTGTGTACCCAGTACCACCAAGCCCTGGAACTGTGCGTGACGCAGAACCTAACGATCACAGAGGATTTGGCCGAGAGAATGACTGTACCTGATTCGAAGGATATGTCCGAAGAGGCCCGCAAGGAGCTGCTGGAGAGGATCGCTGACTGTTGCATGCGGCAGGGCAATTACCATCTGGCCACTAAGAAATACACACAGGCTGGCAACAAACTCAAGGTAATTATCAGATGTGCTATACACTCATTAGGAATTCTGTGCATAGGATGTATCTTGCCTGATACATATGCAACACCTAATGTGTCTCCTTGAGGGAAAAAAAAAGTATGCGTCATGCTGTTACACTGGAAACGAAATAATTGTGACTCTAAAAACTTAAATTATTTTGTTTCTTCTTAACAGGCAATGAGGGCGCTCCTGAAGTCAGGCGACACAGAGAAAATTGTTTTCTTTGCCAATGTTAGTCGTCAGAAAGAGCTTTTCATCTTGGCCGCCAACTATCTCCAATCTCTAGACTGGCGTAAAGATCCAGATATCTTAAAAACAATTATTGGTTTCTACACTAAAGGCAGGGCACCGGACCTGCTTGCTGGCTTCTATGAAGCTTGTGCTCAGGTGAGCAAAATATCAGTTCATTTGGCCGGTTTGTTTTGACGTTTATATTGAATTATATAATTGGAACAAAAAAAACAAAAAAGCTTGCCTCAGTATCAGAGCACATCAAGCAAAATACAATTTATAGATAAATCTTGATGATTCAATAAAAAGTTATTTTGTTATCATTTAAAAGGTGGAGATTGATGATTACCAGAACTATGAAAAGGCTCTGGATGCTCTGACTGAGGCATCAAAGTGTCTCTCAAAAGCAAAGGACGCTTCAAGCGGACAACAGGAAGTGCGACTGGCTGATCTGCAGCACAAGATCACCTTAATCAGGAAGTTTGTCCACATACGCAGGTACGAATATGAACTCATTTTCATTATTTCAGTTTTACCGTAAGTTTTAGTTTTCATCATAGAACGGGTCGTTTTTGATGGATGTTTCGTTATTGCGCGGGTCAACCTGTCTGCGAAGCTTTGAGCTCATCACATTTGTCTACAGTTTGTACATCGAGGATGCCAGCGAGGCGGTGCAGCTGTGTGAAACCCTGCTGGAGGAGCCAGAGCTGGACCCTGCTGTGAGGATTGGAGATGTGTTTGGTTTCCTTATCGAGCACCACTGTCAGCAAGGCAACTTCCAATTGGTGACTGTCTTCTTTTTCTAGATTTTTCAATAGGTCAGATTACACTAATCACATTAATGTAGGGCTGTAATGACTCATCATGTAACTCAATTTAAAAAAACAAATCCTTGGTGCTACTTTCTAAATTTTTCTATTTGTGTCCTTTGTAATTCTTTTCCAGGCCAATCGTAAACTGGAGCAGCTCCAAAAGCTGTTGCCATCCCAGAATGTTAGCTACTACATCAGCCAGGCCAGCCTAGTGGCCCTGCAGAAAGAGCTTGGTATACCTATGGATCGCAGTGACAAGATACACATCTCAAAGGAGGAAGATGAAGTGGAGGAGGATTTAAACATGTTTTAACCCAGTAAAACTATATCAAATATATCTGCACTTTTTCAGACCGGAAATAACTGTGGAGTTAGTTTTGTCCGAAACAACTTACATGGGAGATATGAGGGTTGCCAAAGTCACATTATGTGGACTGAGCACAGCATCTGTTTGCATTCAAAGGCACTCGATTATCAGATATTGAATGAGTACTGTGGAAAACACGAAAACTAAAACGTTTGTGTGTGTGTGAGCTGCAAAACATCAAAAACCTACACAAGATACTGCAATATGGAGTTAATGTATATGACAAACTTGGCCGAGGTTGCAACATTCTCCAAAATGCTGAATATAATGAACATTGAACCTCTATCCTCTGCAAAGGGAAATCATGTAATGCAGCTGTTTTATTCTTAAATTTAAATCCTAGGTTTAACCTTTTTCCAGCAGCTTTTGTGAACGCAGAACGCCTTTGAGCTAAACTTGGCTCTGAATGATGTTATAGATTTATCTCTGTGGCTTTATGAACGACTGTTTTTACAGGGATTGATTTATTCCTCATGTCTGACTGTGGTTTACACACATTTGGTACAATTTATTTTCATATTCAGCTGATGTATTAAATGTAAATATCTTCTCAGTGTCTTGACTCATCTCTGTAAAGCCTTTTGGAGCTATTTTTGATAACACGAGGCCACGTCTAGCAGTATCATAGACTGTGAATTAATTGCATTGTTCTTATACATTGTAAAGTTCCCATTAAAACATCAAATAAAATGAGATGGAAATCATAGTTTTTGTTTTAGCTAGATATGCAAAAAAGCTCACTGCACACTGACTGAGGTGTAAAGCTGTTTTTTGTGTTGCAAGTGCTGCTGGAGTTCTAACCTTTTCAGACTTTTTTAAGTATCAAGGTGTAGCAGAAACCTCGACTGTGCTTCTATTTTTTTCAATTATCATGATCACCTTTTGTGTATGAGAGATAAGATTGTTATGTTTGGCTGAGTTAGCATAACCCCCTGTCATTAGTTATGATGTAATATAATGAGCGTATGGTACTATCTTGGGTTGTTAAGCTAGATTGTTGAAGTATTATAGAAGAGCAGCTATTCCAACTGTGTGCTCAAGAGGGCGCCGTTGTCCATAGAATTGTACCGTAGTTCTTTGATAAGGGACTGAATTAATACAGTATAAAGGATAAATAGAAACAGCGGAGTCGCTTATAAAACTGTTACTGTTACCCGTACTTCATGTTTTACCAAGCTAACTTTAGATACTAACAGGTTAGCAGGCTAAGAGCGGTCAAATATGCACCAGAATACATTTACTGTGACATGTGGTGGTGATAATACACATTTATTCACGATTGGTATTAAGTGAAATCTGAAGAAAGAGTTTCCACACATGAGTTTTGTTTGTGTTGTGGAGTCATGGAGAGGTTGTTGGTGGATACAAGCAACAGCTGACAGTGGAGGGGAAGAAAAGATGGACGGCCAGGACCAAAATTCAAATCAGCTTCAGGAACGAGTTCAAGCTCTGACAGGAGAAAATGTGAGTAAGACCTTTCCCATTTGTCTTCTTACTAAGTATTCTCGCTTTTGGCAAGGTAGCTTTACCAAAAAGGGTGAAATGATCACACAGCAGCAAAACTGGAGGCCTTGAGACTAGTGCTTTTTATGTTTGCTTTCTTCCAAAGAAATTAACAGTTTCGAAGTTTTATAATGGGTTCATTTTAATGGACAAAGAAGAAAAAACAACCTAGAAAAAAATAACTGATTAAATAAAGTTCTAAATGTATTTGCATGTTATTGAGTGAGATACCTGATCTCCTTTAACCCAGCCACAACTGGCTGTGTGCCCATGTGGTGCACAGCCAACCAACCAATTGATCAATTAATGATACTCCTGATCGTAACTGTTATATTTATAGAGCACACCTGTCCACAGAATTCTAACCTTTCCAAAGAACGTCAGGGACAGGATTTTACACCTGCACAAGGCTGGAATGAGCTACAAGACCATCAGCAAAGAAGCTTGGTGTGAAGGTGACAACTGCTTGTGGGATCTTGTAAGGGTCCCTATGCACATGTGTAGGCAAACTTATCTGTTTGATTCAGAGAAGTCTTGGCAGAAAAGTTGTGTGGTCAGATGAAACCAAAATTGACCCGTCATGTTTGGAGGGAGGGAAATGCTGAGTATAACTTAAAGGACACCGTCCCCACAGTCGAGCACAGAGAGGTGGAGGCATGATACTTTGGCGCTGTTTTTCAGGGGATCAAAGAATTATTTCCCCCTCTGTATAAAATGTGTGCGTGTATAGTTGCAGTGGCGTGGCAAATACGAGCGTGTCCTCACCAAAGTGGGCTACCTGGAGACCAGACTGAGCCACCTGGCCAGCTCCAACACAGACCTGTCCTGCAGGCTGGTCCAGAGTGAAGAGGAAAGACTGAAGGTGCGTTAAACAAACATGAGTCATAATTTAATTGTGAGTGTATACTACAGAACTAACCTTTTTATTTTCTCTCCCAATGTCTGTTTAGATCTATAAGGAGCTTGTAGAGGAGAAACTTAAGGCTAATAAGATAAGAGAACAGTATGAAGAAGAGACATTTGAGCTGAAAACCAAGGTGAGGGTTTTTCTACAAATCCTTCCACAACAAGACTGCTGGCAGGATCATCCTGAATCACCTTTTCTACACTTTTTTTTCCTTCTCACTCTGGTTAGGTACTTAACCAAGAAGGTGTGATAACAGAGCTGGAAATAGAGCGAGACAGGTTGCTCAGGGAACTGCAGTCCACTGAGACATGCCTGAAAGGGAAAGAGACTAGTGGCCAGGACTTGACTGAGGAATATGCCACACTAAAGAAGAACTACCAGATTCTGGCTGAGGTCCACGATAAAGAATTAGCCAAGAGTGGAGCGCTCACAGCAGAGCTGCTGGTGCTGGCCCAGGCCCAGGACGCCCTCCGCAGGCAGCTGGAGGAGCAGCATCAATGTGTGAAGACCAGCACCGAAGGTCTTCATGGGGAGCTAGACAGGGTGCGGGCTTTGATCACCCGCATGTCACATGACACAGTCAAGGTGAGGCAGTAAATATCGAGCTCCACCATAAGGAGCAACTTAAAGTTGTTAGAATTAGAATACAGATTCTCATGTTTTGTTATGTTGTTCATTTGAAATGCTTGTATGTTGTATTGACAGCCTGAGGAACAAGCAGAGATGGAGAAGGAGCAAAAAAGCATGCAGAAAACTGTGAGTCCTTAAGTTTCAAAATAGTAACCGTCGAAGTTTATAAGTCTCTGACTGCCTCCCTCAGCTTTTTCATTCATCTTCCTCACGTAGCTGCTTGAAAACCAAGATGAGATCAAAGACAAGCTGGAGGAAATGAAGAGCAGCTACAAGGAGCAGCAGAAGAAACTGGAGGAGAAAGTGTGCGAGTGTTTGTCATTTACTTGTGCAAAAGCTCAATGAAAATAAAAGATCATTATCTTTGCATTTCCAGTCAGGATGTAGTGCGTCCCAGTGTTTGCCCCACATGCATCTGCTTTGTGGTTGCCTCTTTGATTTTTTTCTGCTAAGCTGTGGCTTTACTTGCTCTGTGCATGTGTGATGTGGTCTCTTTGCTTCTTCTCTGTGGATTTGTGCTCTCTTGTGGTCGTGGCCTGTGTTTGGTCACCAGGGTGGCGATGGGTAAAGAGCACCAGCAGATCCACAGAGCGATGCACGTTAGCCAGCAGAAAGTCTCTGAGCAGAGTGCGGTGAGCATTCCTGGTTATTACCACTGTTTATATGCTGATTTGTAATGCTGTGATAACTTTGTATATCCATCCCTTGCTCTGTTTAAACTTTAAACTTTATAGGTGGGGGGTAATGATGTTCTGTATGTGCTGTTTCCTTTGAAGGCCCTGATGTGCTCTCAGAGACAATTAAAGGAGGCAGAGGAGGAGAACTCCAAGCTGCAGCTGCAGGTGAAAGAGCTGATTGAGGAATATCGCACAAGGCTCGTGTGCTACTTACAGGACATAGCTGTGAGTAACGGCACACACAAAGCAGGTTTGATAGTAAGACGTGGCAGTATTGATAAGACCTCTGCTCTGTGTAATCCAGGACTACATCGATGGGCTTGAAGAAAGTAAAAGGCCGTCAGAGCCGAGTAAGATGAGAGGATTCATCGACAGCATGCTGCAGGATGTTCGTTTATCCTACAGGGCGAGGGAGGAGCAGCTCGCCACTGCTGCTCGCTCGTATAAGAAGAGACTACAGAGGATCACCCAAACTCATCATGCCCTCCTGATTGCATACAGGTGATGCTTTCTTTGTTTCATTCCTATTTGTTTAGACGTGATTGTTTATGAGCTGCAGTTTAACAATGGTCTGATCCATTTACTAAAATTTATTGTAGTGTGTATGAAAACGTTCCCATAATTAGAGACAGCATGTAGGACATGCTAAATCTTGCACATAGAGCATAATATAACACGACTACTTTGGATTATTTTGTTGCAAAGTTATTCTAACCCGGCAATGTCCGATCTGTGGGCGGGGCTGAACTCAAGCACTGCCATCAGCGGTGTAATAATACCTGGTTTGTTCCTACATGATGGTCTTTAGGCTTCAGAGGGAGCAGATCTTGGCCAAACCAGAGAATGGTCTTGATCCCGGACCTCCAGAAGCCCACTTCAACTTGGAGCCAACTGAACTGAAAGATGCAATGGAGAAGGAGCTCCAACAACTGCACCAGGACAAAGCAAGGCTGGAAGGTCAGCTGCAGGCGGCCTGGGAGCAGGTAGCACAAAGCAAAAGTCTGCTTTGAAGTGGAATGATTTGCTTTTGTTTTGTCTCGTGAGTGCTTATTTTCGGTCTGTAGGGAGTCGTCTTTGTTTCCATACTTCCCGTATTAAGAGACTTTCTTTTGTTGGGAGTGGTGATACTGAAAATATTGACTTTAAAGTTTGTACTGCTGTTTCACTGCTGCAGAGGTGGATTCGGATCATGTAACAGCACTCATATATAAAAGTCGCTGCTCTGAATCAGTTTTTTTTCTGACTTGGTGCCATGCAGAGCCGATTTTACTTAAATACGCTTTCAGAAAAAATAACTATTTGAGAACATGAGTGTAAATCAGAGAAATACTCACTGACTTCTCTAAAATGAGAAGTTTAGACTTGTTTCCAGTTTAAGGAAAGATTACACTTACTGACACCTTTATTATTGTTCAACTACTTGTTAACACAAAAATCAATTAGCCAATCATAGGGCAGCAATTTAATGCATTTAAGTATAGAGTCATAGTCAAGACAAGAAGTTTAAACTCAGGATAAACTTAAAAACGATGGGCTGCACCAGCAGAAGACCACAGTGAGCAAAGAACAGGAAACTGGGGCTGCAATTCACATAAGATCCCCGAAAACTGGACAACAGAAAAACATTTCCTGGTTTGAGAAGTCTTGAGCCTGTCTCTGAACCTTGCATAAAAACAAGGTGAAAGCATGGATCCATTCTGCCTTGTATCAGCTGTTCAGACTGGTAGTGGTGGTATAATGGTGTGAGGGATATATTTTCATACAGAGAGGATCATTCCTGATCTTAAGCCTGACTTTTCCGTTTTAGGTGGCTACGTTCAAAATACCCATGCAAAATATAAACCGTCAGCAGTGAGTGTCACTGTTTTTTTTTCTTGCTCTTATTTTTATCAGATAACAAATGTGGTCAGCTGTGCATTTTGTCAAATAAATGTTTGAAAAATGTGACTTTACCAGGCTGGACAAACCGGAGCAGCGATTCGAAGAATCCTGTGGTGACATAAGAAAACAGCTGAAGGAGCCCACTGACTCCACACCGGTAAACAAATCACTATTTTCAGCTTTTTATACTGTCTGATTACATACTTAATATGAAACAAAATGCTAATAAAAGGTTATTTGAAGATTTCATTCCTTCAAACAGGTGTCCTTTGAGAAGGAGCGTGCCCTTCTCATGACCAGAGTGACAGTTGCAGAGGCTCAGGTGCTGGAGTTGCAGGACTATATTGAAAAGCACCTGAGCAGGTCAGGAAGTAGCTTGATGTGTAGGTTATAAAACGTCGGCTCTCAGACGCATGCTACATTGGTCTTGACTACTGATTGCAGGTATGAACAAGAGATCGCACATCTGCGCGGATTACACGGGACAGTAGAGGAGGCGGGGCGTTCCCAAAGCGCCAAATCAGCTCAATGCTAAGGAAACAAGTAATAAAATTAAAACATCAAAATAAAATTAAATATATAACATTATGAATTTGTAAAATTCTCTTTTTTTTCTCAGATCTCAATATACTCAGTATAAGTGTATTTAAATAGCTCATTTTAAGCATTTAAACCTGTCCCATCAGTAGGTGGTGCTGCGAGCACTGATGGTCCCCGCTATGAAAGCGCCCGTCCTCTCAAAGAATCTGGCCTTGAGAAAAAAATGCCTGGAATGTTTGTAGAGCTTATGTCAATTTCACGAGCTCGGGAGAAGAAAGCGTTGTGACAATGAGGGGTCACCGTGGTGAGAATAATGTCATTACATGTTACCCAGACACATGCACGCCTGTGAATGCTTTCCCCTCAATACAGCGTTGAGAACTGTCAGGCAGACAAGCCAGGCTTTTTCCAGAATGAGGGTTCATATTTATAACCTCAGTGATGGTGTGAATGGGCAGCTATTCCCTTTAAATCCCTTTAACAGTGAAAGGGTCTGCTTTTCTTTTCTTGTGAGATTGGTGGCTGGGTGTCCTGCCACAGTTCACAGGCAGAACTTTAAAATTATAAAAGTCTCTTTAGCGTTTTTTTGAAATAAGAAAAAAAAACAATGTCAAACTTTACGTTGAAAAATTTTTTTTTTTTAATGTTCATGCTACCGTACTGTAGAGGAAATGATGAGAAAAGAAGAGATTGAAGGAGTCATACGCATGTCACCCCAATTCCCATTTCTGGGGGCATGCCAGCCATGGGAGAGAAAGAGGGGGGGCAGGGGTGTGAAAGTTTGAGAGGAATGGGAAGTGGGATTTTGTTAGTAATGTATTACACTCCCAGGGCCCTGGGAAAAGGGGTAGGGGGTGTTCAGCTTTGGGTCTGTGCCAACATAGTCACTGTGCCAAAACGCTGGGCGCTGGAGACCACTCCTCTCTATCTGTGGGAGAGCCGTCTGTGGGAAAATCAAATCCAGGTTTGCCGCTTGGCCACCGGTCGTAATGCGTAAGCGCGGATACCTCCGCAAACTTGCACAAAATTAATTTGCTCTTAGTAAATAAATAAAGAGCACGCAGTGGAGATTGTAACATAGCAAGTGCAGAGTGCTCTGCTGCACCACAGCTGGTCCCCGAGGCAATGTGCCAGGACCCCCCCCTTAAGATGGGAAATTTTGACTCCATAGTATGTGAGCTGCCATTTATCTGCTGCCACATATGTGACCGCTATTATGAAGTAAAATCTGGCCATAACCGTTATTAGATTAGATTTAGATTGTAGACATCTAAATGGAAAATTTCATTCATGGGAACTAACAAGTAAAATATGGCAAAGGCTTTGATTAAATAGTATAAATGAGTGTCACAAGAAGGATTGGTTGGTAGTTATTTTAATGTAACAGCTGCATTAAACCACACAGAAATCCCGTTAATGGCTTAGTGAAGAGTCTGGCTGACAGTAAAATACAGAAAAAAATGTTAATGACTTTTTTCCAGTTGAAGTGGAGGCAAAGTGCCTGCTTCCTGCAAAACCTCCAAAAATACGAGCAGTTAGACAAACTGTAAACTAAACACAAATGAGTTTATGTGAATCCGGTGCTCAGTTGATGAGAAAGCTCTTTGTGAGGTTAATATGAGCTCATGGGGAGAAGCAATCATTCAAATGAATCCACCATCAGTGTGATGGGCCTTTTGTCTTTTCAGTTATAGTGATATTTCTCTTAGAAGGATTATAAAAACTTCTATTTATAGCAATTTTCAGACCCTTAAAAAGAAGTGAGCAACAGAGTCATTTTCTTATTGATATAACACAAATGTGTACGAGCGTGCAACCCGAGGAGTCACCCCCTGGTGGCCATTGGAAACAATGTTGTTTGAAGGCAATTGTACTTTGGGTTCCTTTTTAGACGTGGGTGCCAGTCCAAGGCTGCTGCCTGCAGAGGCTATGAAAGGCCCCAGTCGCCCACGAAAGCAGTCAGTGACCATCTGGCAACCACCGGTCGCGAGGGAAAAAATGTATTCCTCGACTGGCTGGCAAGTGACTGATGGAAGTTGATGCCAGTCGCTGTGAAATTGATTGCTAAGGCCTCTGTCACACTGTGCTAGAGACCAGTCTGTGACCCCCTGGAAACAACAGGTTGCTAAGGAAAAATGTACAAGTGGTTGGTGAAAAGTTCCTGAAGGTTTCACAAGGTGAAACTGGTAGAGAGTTATATGGTGCTTTGTTTGCTAGCAGACTGGAAGATGGCACTTTTGCCTCACAGCAAGAAGGTCTTGGGTTTGAATCCACCCTCTGGTCGGGGCCTTTCTCTGTGGGTGGAGTTTGCATGTTCTCTCTTCCTCTCACAGTCCAATGACATGCAGTTAGTGGGGTTAGTAGGTTAAGTGTTTGGTGTAAGGTGTAGGGGTTAGGTGACTTGTCCAGCGTGTGCCCTGCCTCTTGCCTCATGGTAGCTGGGATAGGCTCCAGCCCCCTCACAACCCTGAACTGGATAAGTAGAAGTGGATGGATGGACTGCTAGCATCTGCCAGCAAACACTTGCCAATGGTTTGGGAAATGCACATTTTTCCCTAGCAACTAGAGGTCACTGACTGGTCTCTAGGCCTGCATGACCAAGGTTGATGGGTGTAATGGGTTAGACTGCAGCATTTTAGATTTCAGCATCAAAATCCAAACTGAACGAACTCTGTTATTTCTGATCAAGGGTGAACAGTTTAAACGCCACAAAGACGAAATTTATTTCAGTTAAATTATGATACATTCTTTAATATTTCTACTTTACTGATACCAAATTAAAACTGTGATTAACACATCCGAGCTCATTTAACACTTTATCTCCCCTTTTCTGTCTTTTTAGGCACACACAATCATATACACAATAATTTATCATTTCAAATTTATTTCAAATTTTTATCTTTTTTATGTTCATGACATATTTATTTTGTTTCTGTGTCTGGGTTTCTTGGTGAATTGTGAATGAAGAAAATGCTGTGTTTCAATAATTTAAAAAAGTTCTGTTTAAAGTTACCCACGCAACAATATCATTTATATTGTCGACAGAAGGTTGCGTCACATTCACGCAGCAACTATAGGAGCGCATGGACCATTATCACTGAGCTTTACATGGAATCATTGCAATGCAGGACCATGACCTAATCAACATTAGCAACTACATGGAAACATATGATGCTTATTTACGTTCCCTACACTCTTCTGTTTTGTCGATGATACTTTGGGCGCGCATTTGTTTTGGTGGTGGGAAAGTGGTGAAAAGGTTGCACGAATGTGTCGTTCTGAGGATGGGAAGTGGGGTGTAGCGATGCGGAGGAAGTACCTCACATGGATCGCGATGGGCCGCTCGTCAAGAGCCCCTTTGTTTTAGGAGGTTAATGCCTAATTGATACAAGCTTAATGAGAGTGGGCTGTGTGTGAGCCTGGGGTGGAGGGGGTTGGTGGTGGTGGTGGTGGGGGTGCTGCACGGCCCTGCCGTAATTGGAACGGACAAGCCTTGTGTGGTCGAGGGGTGTACGGGGAATGGATTTCTGGGAACGCAAGGAAAGTTGAGGAAGAGTGGGAATGAGGAAGAAAAAGTGACAATGAGTGCGAGGAATGTGGGAGAAAAATCTGGTGTGATAGTGAGAGCATCGCGAGATCATGAGAAAGAAATGTAGTGACGATGGGGGGGGGGGACGACTCGCTGTTCTCATGGATGTTTAGTTCTAATGGAACTTTATTGTTTTACGAGCTTCCCATAAATCGCTCGTGCAGTGTACGATACAACAACTGCAGACCTACCAACATCAACTGTAACCGTTCTCTGAGACACCTGTCGTTTCTGATGAGCTGTCTTTTCACCCCCTCTTTCAGTCTGACAGTCTGAGACTATTCATGCAAGAGTCCTCAGCTTCCCTCCAGACAAGCTTTCAGTATGAAGGCTGGAGAGGCATTAAGAGGGAGGAGGGAAGGGGGCAGGAGAGGGGTGCACAGAAGAGACGAGCCGTGCACTTTAGAAACCTTGAAGAATTAGGACTGAAGGCTTTGGAGAGTCTGGGTGGCTGCAAGAAAAGGGGGTTAAAAAAAATTGTAAACGGGTCCTGGTTGCATAACTATAAAGATGAGAGGGAAAGCAAGATTTCATAAATTGAGCTTAAGCTGGGTGTGCTTCAAACAGCCGTGCTAAATGATGATAGAGTGAGTGTGGAAGACTGGAGAGGAGGAACGGTTACAGTACTGGTGAGAAAGACGGGAGGGAGGCGGCTCAATGAACAGGAGTGAGTGAGAATGAGGCTGAGTGTCGGTGAGGGAAGGAGAGAAGGGCAGACCCTCTGCGTTCCCACACTCAGCAGGTTCCCACAGTAGACCCAGCTAATCCCTGTCTTAATTGGGGGAGAATTCCAGCGCACATGTTCCCCTGGAATGAGCAGGGAAACTCAGGGAGCATCTGACATATCAGACAAGCTGCAGCGGCTGAGCTGATGCACAGTGTGCCAGTGCACTCTGTTGGAATATAAACACACCGCCCGACTGTCAGCACATCTGATGCATAAATGCTTTCACAAGTTACACTTTTTTTCCCCCTCCCCACCCTTTTCACTCCGTCCAGCGCGAGAAGTGTTCTCGGCAGCCACTTAGCATCGCTTTAACCACATTCCAAGAGTTAAAATTGTGATTTTATGAATGTTAAAAGCAGGCGTTGGTACTTCAAGACTTTCACGCTTTCAAATGTTTGGGTTTCACTGAATTCCAGGAGCAATTTTTAGTCACGACAAGTTTCTGTGTTACGTCTCTGAGTTTAAGGATGTTTGGCTGCTGGTGATATTGTTGAAAGGAATACACTGAAGCTCCAGTTTGGACTCGGGAGCTAGACAATGCAATAGGTCTAGGCTGCTTCCCATGATACAGTGATGAATGTTTCTTTTTCATTCAACCGTTTTTTCTCAGCATGTGTTTATACACCACTCTGCATTTAATCGTTAGTTATTACTCATCTCTGGTT